GGAGCCATTTTATTTCATGTTTTTCTAGCAGTTCACTTTCATTTACCCTGTAATCACCAGCTAAGGACAGAATTGGTCTCTCAGAGATAGCTACTGATAATTGCTTTACAGCTCCTCCCCGCTTGTTTTGCCAAGAAGTTAACCAAATCAACCCTTGGTGACCTTCATGACATAGACCCTATCAACATGACAACAGTCATGTGACTAACCCACCCATCTGTCTGGCGTCAGTACTTGTGCTTACCTGCCCTCTGTGATGACTTGCAGCAGACTACCACCCAATCACCTTAAAGACCTGCCCCAATTAAAAGGAAAGTTTAAAAGGATTCGACCAGAAACAGCCATTTGCCATTGTGCTCTTTGAGCTGTGGCTGCCATGTTCTCTTTTGCTTTCTTTTTTTTTGGGGGGGCGGGGTCAGAGTCTCACTCTGTTGGCCAGGCTGGAGTTCAGTGGCACGCTCATGGCCACCACAGCCTCGGTCTGCTGGTCTCAGGCAATCCTTCTGTCTCAGTCTTCCAAGTAGTTAGAACTACAGGTATGTGTTACCATTCCCGGCTAATTTTTTGATTTATTGTAGAGATGAGGTCACTCAAACCCCTGGACTCATGCAATCATCTTGCCTCAGCCTCCCAAAGTGCTGGGATTACAGGTGTGAGCCGCTGTGCTGGGCCAGCTGCCATGTTTTCTTAGTTTTGGCCGTCTCCTCTACCTTGGGGAGGTGACTCTCCTCTCTCTCTCTCTAATTTACTTTCTAAATAAACTATATTTTCCAATCTAACTTCTGTGCAATTCTTTGCATCTCTCACGTGGCACTGGATCGCACAACCTCCCAGTGGGTCTGATCTAACATTTCGGAGGCCCCTGCTGGGATTCTGGTAACTAACGGTGGGGAAGAAGAGAAAGGAATTTCCTGAGGAGCCATGTGCCCACCAAAGTTGTGAGGGAGAACTAGTGACAAATCCATCTGGGAAGAGGAAAGAGAGAGACAGAGAGAGTTGAGCAGAAGCACAGAGAGAAGCACATGGCCCCAGGGTGAGTGAAAATAGCTGCCTTGGGGACCATTAGCTTTCATGTTCCCAGTTCCAGTTTCCCTGAGGCCCGGGCAGGCTACCTGGTTCCTTCCTTGGATACCATGAAATCTATTCATCCCTAAGATGGCTGCTCCTCCTTCCACTCTTGGCTTCTTCCCCACTTGGGCCAAAGTAGGCAGTCATTTCTTCTAACCAAACAGCTCCCACTGGAACACTTGTTTAATAATGACACCGACGGTTTACTAGGTGCCAGCAACTATTCTGCTTACGTGTACCATTTAAATCGATCTTGTCACCGTTCTCATTTCCATTTAGTAGATGAGGGAAAAAGAGATAAAGGGATGCTTACTAATTTGCCCAAGGCTGTACAGCTTGAGAGTGAAGGAGCCAGGATCAAGCCTATAGTCTTTAATTATGATGCCAGTATTCATCTGAGGCAAGAAAAATTGCTTCTGAATTTGACTTTGGTTGAATTCTCATTTGTTATTTATTTATAAATGATGGCTTGTAATTGCAATTTTTTTCCTTTGTCCCAAGAGCTAAGACCTTTTTTTTTTTTTTTTGGTGAGACAGTCTTGCTGTGTTGCTCAGGTTGGTGCTATTCATAGGCACAATCACAATGCCCTATAGCATTGAGCTCCTGGGTTCAAGGATCTTCCCATCTCTGCCCCCTGGGTAGCCAGGACTACTGATCTAGGTCACCACACCCAGTTCAAGAGGGCAATTTTAAATGTCTAAGGTTTTCTTTGTTTAAGCTACTTTTTAGTTTTTAAATTGTTTTTGTGTGAGAAAATGTGGTTTATTTGTGCTTGTTGGAATTTTTGAGATTTTTCTTTGCAGCCTATTATAAGTTTAGTTTTAAAAAAACTTCATTGTGGTATTTATTTATTCTACCTTTCTCAGTATCTGTCTCTTCTTTAAAATAATAAAAACATTGAGGTTAGGAATCATGTCTTATTTATCTGTTCATCTCTGTATTGACCATAAGGTAATGGCACAGTAGAGATATCTAGTAAGTAAGTAGACTGAAGAAATGAATATTGGACCTTGTGGGTTTGAAGAATGTGCTATTTCCTTTCCTTTAATCCATCCAATTTCCACTATTTTGATCATTTTGACTTGAATACCCCTACCCCCACCCCACCTCTTCGGACCTCAAAAGCGTAGACTTGGGTTATCATAATCTCTGGTTTATGACATACTCTCGTCATTGGTCCATGATTTATTTGTTATAATGTAAAATAACAAGTGTTTATTAAAACATATTCCCGCCGGGCATGGTGGCGCATGCCTGTAATCCCAGTACTTTGAGAGACTGAGGTGAGAAGATTGCCTGAGCCCACGGGTTCAAGACCAGCCTGGGCAACTTGGCGAGACCTCATCTCTACAATTAAAAAAAAAAATTAGCCAGGCATGGTGGCACATGCCTGTAATTCCAGCTACTTGGAAGGCTGAAGTGGATCACCGGAGCCCGGCAGGTCAAGGTTGTGGTGGCCGTGAGCGTGCCACTGCACTTCAGCCTGGGTGACAGAGTGAGACTCCAACTAAAAAATAAATAAATAAAACACATTCCCAAACAATGGGAACTTTGACAATGACATACATATAACCATATAGTTCCCCTTTCCCACCCATTTTGTTTCATCCCGCCACGTTTTTTTTGTTTTATGCCACTTTTATCATTCCTTTGCTTCCTTTTTATGCAGTTTTATGCAGCTACATGTATTTTTTTAAAACTAAAAAAGGTTTGTGTTGTATGTAATCATTTTGGGGTTTCTTCTTCTTCTTTTTATTTTTTGACTCGTGGTCTCGTGCTGTTGCCCAGGCTGGAGTGCAGTGGTCCGATCATGGCTCATTGCGGCCTCAACCTCCAGGGCTCAGGTAATCCTTCCACCTCATTCTCCCAAGGAGCAGGGACCACAGGTGCGTGACACCACGCCCTGCCAATTTTTTTCTATTTTTTGTAGAGATGAGATCTCAAACTCCTGGGCTCAAACAATCCACCACCTTGGTCTCCCAAAGTGTTGGGATTACAAGCGTGAGCCTGCCAATGTTATCTGCAGAATGTGTTCTGGCCCCTACATCCTAATCCACACCTCAACTCCAATTCTAACCTTTCCACTTTTCAATTTCACAGACGCTTTCTCCTGAAACCCCAATATCTATTACTATCCCCAGCTCTTTTCCTTCCCCCCACGCCCACCAAATACTATGCACTACTATTTTACCATTTGGTGAGTGCTCGCCATAAGCCCAGCACCGAGATAACAGCTCATTATGCATCAGCTCACCTAATCTGACTCTGTGAGATAGTAGCGGTAGCATTTCCATTTTACAGATGAGAAAACTGAGGCTCAATGAGATGAATCTGACCAAGGTCCCTATCTGTAGTGTAGCTAGGATTTAAACCAGTGTTTTTGTTTTGTTTTGTTTTGACTTTTTAAGTTATGATACCTTTGACTCTAAGTAAAAGAAAACCTAAGTAGCTTTAACAATAATGACATTTAGTATTTCACATAGAAGGTTGGCTAACTCAGTGGCTCTACGTTACTCTCAAGGACCTGGGCCTGTCTCCTCCACCGTCCGTCCCTGATGTATTAGGCTTTGTCCCCAGGTCAGCTTTCCATAGGGCTGCAGGATGACTGCCAAAGTTCCATCATGTCCACAGAATGTCTGGGGCAGGAGCAGACATCATTTCTTCTTGTGCATCTCTCTCTCTCTCTCTCTCTCTCTCTCTCTCTCTCGCTCTAATTTGATGCGAATATTTTCTTTAAGAGCAAAGAAACTTCTCCCAGGACCCTCCCCTGCCCCAACAGATTTCCCCTCACAGTGTCTAGAATGCCAGAAGCCCACGCAACCATTGGCAAGGGGAACAGGACCACTGGGATGGGCTTAGACCAAGCCACACTCATTCCCGGGGCTGGCTCGCCAAGCCTCCCTGAAGCTTCTGGCTGCCTGGAAGAACAAAATTAGGAAGAAGGAAGATGGGGTAAGGAACAGGTGCAAGCTGTGCACCCAACGGTGTCGTCAGAATCCAAGTCCAGGTTGTTAAACTCAACACACCACAGCTATTCTGGGCTCCCCCTCAGCTCACTCTAGCATGTTTCCTTAACTACAAGGCAAGTGCCCCCCAACTCTACATGACACATCCAAGGCCATCCTTGGCAGGACAATGAGGAACATGAAATGTGTTCCCTGGGAACCAGCGAGCTTGTGCAGCTCCCCTGAGACGTCAGCATAGGCCCTGTTAAGTCTGGAGGTGGGAAGCGTGGGGCTCTGTTGCAGAAAGGTAGGCCAGCCTGGCCCTGACCCAGACCCAGAGGTTTTTTTTAAGAGATGGGGTCTTGCTGTATTGCCCAGGCTTGACTCAAACTCGAGAGACCCTCCTGCCTCAGCCTCCCTAGTACCTGGACTACAGGCATGTGCCACACCCGGGCCAGAGCTGGATTTCGACCAGGTTCCTCCCTCTCTCTGAGATCTCATCTTCCCGGTCTCTACTTACTTAGAATCTGAATCATTTTCTTAACAACTTCTAACTTGTCCCCTAGTCTATGCCCTTCCCCATCTTTATCCTCCTGTCTCCTTCCCCTGAGCCCCCACAGTAAGAATCCCTGTATCCGCTGAGTTTATAACCATTATTGATCTCCTATATGTGTTAGAAGCTTAAGACAACGGTAGACACTAGGGGAGGAAATTAAGGTCTTTTTTTTTTTCCTTTGAGTCAGAGTCTCACTCTGTCGCCCAGGCTGGAGTGCAGTGGTACGCTCTCGGCCACCGCAGCCTCGACCTGCTGGGCTCTTTGATCCTTCCATCTCAGCCTTCCAAGTAGCTGCTGTCCCGTGCCGCTGGCCTTGGAGGCTGCGGCAGTCATCACACGGCTGCCCCCTCCCCTCTCTCCTCCCCCAGCCCCGCCCCCTTCCTCTGGCCCCACCGTCCTGGACACAGCACACACAGCCCAGCACCTCGGCTCAAAGGGAAACAAAAGGAACTGCCCGGCTTCCCATGGCTGTGGCCAGCACTTACATCCCAGGGCTCAACCCTCGGAACCCACATTATATCCCAGGGTAAGACTTCCATGCAGTGTACTCCCTTGCTTGCTTCCGGGAAGAAGGGCATAGAGATACAGGGACAGAGGAGTTATGCCATCTAGACCTGGGGGCCAAGTCCACGCGTCAGCTTGGGAGGCCCAGGGTTGGAGTCTCTATGGTGTTGGATGGAATGGAAAAACAAAGGAAGGGTGATAGCTGGGCCTGCCACAAAGCTTTGTGTTGTCTTCTCCATGGGAACCAGGTAACAGTAGGGAAGAGGGATCAAGAGCCCAGGCAGAGACTTAGAAAAGCCTGCCTGCTGAGCGTGTGCACACACACAGACACCCACGGACACACATGGACACACACGGAGTTGAATCCAGAAAGCTCAGGGCTCCAGAGGTCTCTGCTTCTAACTCTGGGGTGGTGGGGCCGGGGGATTCCTGAGGTGAGTGGGTGAGCCCTGTGCTACAGGTACACTGGACACTGCCCACTACTTCGGTTCAGCATGGGCCAGACCTATGGGCAGGTGACTGGCCAGCTACTTCGAGGCCCTCCTGGCCTAGCCTGGCCCCCCGCCCATCGCACACTCCTGCCTCCCATTCGGCCTCCACGCTCTCCCGAGCTTCCCAGGGGGAGCCGACCTCTCAGGCGCGGGCACGGAAGGCTCAGCTCCAGCATGATCCCTGGGTACACAGGTTTGTACACAGGTATGAGCAGGTGGTCCCCACCCCCGGGCACGTGTTCCAGTACTAACTTCCTCGCCTCCTGCCCACCCAGGTTTTGTACCCCGGGCCAAGTTCATCTTTGCCAAGAACTGTAGCCAGATCTGGGCTGAGGCTGTGAGCGATTTCACTCAGCTGCACGGTGGGCGAGGGACTCAGGAGCAGCCGCAGGAGGCCGAGAGAGAAAAAGAGCTGGAGAACGAGCAAGAGCAAGAGCCAAGGCTGGGGCCGGAGGAGGAAGAACAAGTGAGGCTGAGAGGCGGTGGGAGTGCAGGGCGTGGGACTGGGGGGTCCTCGCTCTGTGTGGCCAGGCCTGAGGTGGCCACTAGGGGGACTGTGGGGACAGGGGAACGCGGACTTGACTGCCAGCCACCTCCCTGGAGCGCGTGTGAGAGCACAGGGGCTGAGTTTCTCCCGTCAACTCTTCTCCAGGCTTCTCCCTACTCCATGGATGACAGAGACCCCCGGAAGTTCTTCATGTCAGGTGAGTGGAGGTGGGTGACGACGGAAGGCACAGGGGGACCCAGGTCACATCGGCTCAGTGTCTTCCCCCCACCCCGCCACCAGGCTTCACTGGCTACGTGCCCCGCGCCCGCTTCCTCTTCGGCTCCGGCTTTCCTGTGCTCACCAACCGGGCACTGCAGGAATTTGGGCAGAAGCACCCACGGGACGGAGGCCAGAAGGATCCCAAACACCTCCCGCCGCTGCCCAGGACCCACCTTCAGAACCAGGGTCCTTCACCTAACTAGGCACCATGTGCTGGGTGAGGAGAGCCCCGGAGGAAGGGCTGGGGCCTGGGAGGTTGGGGGGGTCGGGACAGGTGGGAGGTTTGGGGGCTGGAGCGGGTGTGGGGGACCTCGGATCGCGTGGTTCAGCTTAGTTGTTAGGCAGAAAAGGAAACAGGACGCTCACCGTGGGGAGTTAGGGCTAGATTTTAGAGGGTGGCTTGGAAGTCGAGCCAACTGTCTGAAAATTAAATGGCTTTTCCATGTGACAGCCTCTCCTGGCCTCACAGGGTATAAGTTCCAGTTCGGCCACAGATTTGGGCATCTCACCCAGGATGCTCAGGGCCTCAGTACCTTCCAGAAGCAGCTCCTGGCGTAGGCACCTGGACTTCAAGTTCTCCCTTGCCTTTCCACCCTCTCTCCCAGTCATCCTTCTGGAAGGAGGGAGGGCTGGGGAGCACAAAGAGAAAATGGTCTGGAGGCTGAGCACCTTTTTTATTAATAGGTATAATAAATAAATAAATACATACATAGACAGAAGCCTGGGCTCCTCCTCCCTCTTCTGGCGACCAGGCACTGGCCACAGCCTATTTACAGCCGAAGGGCTCAGGGAACTGGCCCCAGTACTGTTTCCCATCCTCATCACCATCTGGCCTAGGGAACTCTGCAAATGGCTTCTTGGGCCATCTCCTTCCATGGGGACTGCTTGTCCACAGCCAGGGATGGGCTGGCCCAGTTGGGCCAGAGAAATTCTGGCAGCCCAGTGCTGCGTCCCTGCCCTCCTTTCCCGGGTGGAGGTCTGGACGCGGACACCGGGATGTGAGGGGGTAATTAATACTGAGCACAGGAGCAGGGGCCTGCCCAGGGACATGTGGCCCCGGCTCTGTCTACTCTCTGTGGCCAAGCCAGAGGGCTTGGAAGGGCTCTCAGGCTGAGTGTGGGGGTTGAGGGTCCCTGAGGCCGCCAGCATGCACAGGGCCTCAGTTTTGGCTGCTTCCAGGGGTCGGACTTGGAGTTGGGGTCAACGTCACGTAGGCCAGAGGCACCAGGCCAGAGTCAGGGCCACGGCTGCAGCGCAGCCAGTCTCCTCCCGCTGGCCCCAGCACCCGCAGGATATCTCCCTTGCGGAAGCTCAGCTGTCCAGGGCCTGTGGCCAGGTGGTGGCACAGTGCCTGCACCTCGCTGGGGAAACAACAAAGGGAGGTCATAGAAACCCCATCGAAAGCCAAACTCAGCCCCCCAGTCTCCTTTCCATTTCCCCAGGCTCACCATGGGGGCTTGGAGGGCAGGGCTGGAGAGTGTGGCTCCTGCGGGCTCGCTTTGGGCTCTGGCTCCCGGCGGGCACCCACCGTCTGTGCCACTCGTTGGAACATGGACTTGTCCAGACTCAGCCAGTCCGAGGGGAGCCTAGGGGACAGCAGTTGGGCTCTGGCTCTGCCCGTGCCCGGGCTCAGGCTCCACCCCTCCACCCGACGAGGGGCAGGCTCTCACCTGTTTGCAGGCCGGGCCTCTTTCTGAGCTTTCCGGGAGCCGAAGAGGTGTCCCCACTTGATGCCCCCAGGTGAAGGCTCCGCGGCCCCATCCTCGCTTTCTGCGGGCGGGGCGATGGGCGGCCCTTCCCTCTCCCGACTGCGCCGCAGCTCAGCCAGCACGGAGTCCGGGGGGCTCCCCATCCAGAAGGGCCAGCCTCTTTCCCGGGCCAGGGCCTCCTCAGGGGCAGGGCAGGCCTCGGCCCCCTCCACTACGCCCTCTCGCGGCGGTGGAGCCTGGGGGGCGCCCCCGCCTCCCACCCCTTTCTTTTTCTCGCTGCCGTTGCTGCTCCCGCGAGGGAACCTGGAACCCTCAGCGGAGCCGTCAATGTAGACCTGAGAGCTCTGCATGAGCTGGTACCACCAGCCGGCCTGCCCGCCTCGGGTCCACCTGCCGTGTCCTGAGCCCTCTGCTGCCTCGGCCGCCTCTTCCGTGTCCTCCTCTTCCTCCTCTCCCCCTTCTGGGGCACCCACGCCCTTCACCCGCTCCCCGTGAGCGGCCCTGTCCACGTCTCCAGGGCCCTCCTGGTCCCGGGCCCGGGCCAACTGCAAGGTGGAGTGGGCGGACAGCAGCAGGTCCTGGGATACCCGCAGCAGCTCTTTGTGCTGCCGCTGCTGCTGCCCGCTTTGCAGCAGCCGGTGCTGGAACAGCAAGTCGAGGCTGAAGGGAAGCAGGGCCAGGGGCTGTAGCAGCAGCAGCAGTTCCTCGAAGAGGCCAGGACACACGCTGTGAGCTGCACTCAGGAAGCCCCAGGGCTGGTAGTGGGTCTGGACGATATCTAGGGGCAGAGAGAGGGGCTGACCCACACAGACGGCACAGCCTGGCCTGCGTGGGGCTTTGGAAGACAACCTGGCTGGGCACAGTGGCTCAAGCCTGTAATTCCAGCACTTTGGGAGGCCGAGGCGAGAGGATTGACTGAGTCCAGGGGTTCGAGACCACCCTGGGCAATGTGGCGAGACCTCGTCTCTACAATAAACCAAAAAATTGGTCAGGCGTGGTGGCACATGCCTGTGGTTCCAGCTACTTGGAAGGCTGAGGCGGAAGGGATCGCTTGAGCCCAGTAGGTTGAGGCTGAGGTGGCTGGAGTGTGCCACTGCACTCCAGCCTGGGCAATAGAGTGAGACTCCAGCTCAATTAAAAAAAAAAAAAAAAAAAGAAGAAGAAAAAGAAAGAACCTGGGCAGGGTCACCGCATGTGCTGCCCGGGCTGTGTATCAGGCAATGACAGCAATGCCTACTGAGGCTGTGCAGAGCATAGACTCCACGACGCCAAGAGCTGGCCCTGAGTTTAGAGAGGCGCTGGGGTTCCTGGCCACCCTGACTTCCAGATTGCTGGAGCATCCTGCTGACTCTAAGGTTCTAGCTCCAGAAGCTGCTGGGGAAGGCCTTGAGTGGAGCCTGGAGCCCCGAGGATGAAAGCTTGTGTGGTGCCCTCCCCACCCCAACAGCTGAGAAGACAACGATTCCTCCTTTTGTGTCTCTGAGTCTGGCCTATGCTAAGTTTTTGCGGCAGAGCAGGGTTCTGGGCATTACCTTCGTGGTTATAGAGGTGATTAAACCAGAACTCCAGGGACCGGATGCTGTGGGAGACAGGTGAAGACAGTTGAGTCTAGTGTGGACACAGTCAGATACCAGGGTGCAAAGGAGACAGACACAGGGGAAGCACAGGTGAATGGCTCCCTTCTGTGGCAGGGTTCATTTCATGTAACTCCAGAGAGTCAGCGGGGTATGGGTGAACACACAATTCACAAGCCAATCCCTTCCCCAGGGGTAGAGTCAGCTTACAGTAAACCTGAGAAGTGAGGGCAGCTCCTGGGTGAACGTACAGGCGGCTCAGGGCCAAGGGGGACGACCTGGGCCCATGCTTGAGAAAGAATACTACTACGGCGTGGGTCCCAGGTGGACTCAGGGTCCAGCAGGCCTTGGAAGCATCGCTGGAATTGAGAGGATCAGGGCTTACAAGGTCCAGAGAAACAGAGAAACCCAAGTAGTTTCCAAATAAGCCATATCACAGATTTGTAAAAGCAGAAGACCATGTTGGTGATCAGAGCATCACGAGTGCAGTGAGAAAGTGGTGACCCTGAGGCTTGGCCACGGACCTGGCAGGTCCATCCTCTCTCTCAGTTGCAGGAGTTGGTTCCTCTGGGGAGGCAGAGCTGGGGGGGGCGGGGTGTTGGGAAGCCTGGCCGATCCACACACTCACTTGAGCAGGCCGAGGATGAAGGCATTGAAGCGCATGGTGTGACTGGTGAGCTCCGGGAATTGGCTGACTTTGTTGTAGAGGCCATGCAGGACCTTGGTGGAGGGGCCTGGGAGGAAGCCAGGCTGGAGGTCACGCAACCGATTTCTGGAGCCCTAAACTCAGCCCTGGGTCCCCCTCTTGCCCCCAAGCACTTACCCAGCTGTGTGGAAGCCTCAACCACACTCCACGGCATATTCTTCCGCTGCCCGATGATGACGTCCAACACGAAGGCCTTGAGCCCGTCCTCCAGCACGGCCCGGACCGCGGGGCACAGGTATTTCAGGACCAGGTGGCCCACGTTGGGGCTCACAGAACTGTTTCCTAGCTTTGCCTGCAGGGGCAGCCGGGAAGTACAGGACATCATTTGGAGCCTGACCTCGGTCCTCTCTTGTTGGCCTGCGCGGTTCCCCTCTTGCCGCCCCCATCCATAGGCATCCAGCTCTGGGCTCTAATTGCCAGAGAGCAGGGGAGGTGGTAGCACAGAGTGGATGAGGGTGGATGAGAGTGGATGAGAGTGGATGAGGGTCCATGCCGTGGGGGGGGGCTCAGCTTGCCTACCTTCACCCCAGGATCCCGGCTTGTGCCAAAGTGGGCCACAATGAGGTCCACAGCAGTGTTGACAGCCTTAACCAGCCCTGCAAGGAAGAGTCTGATGTGACAGGTCATCGAACAAGTCCCTCACCAACTCCCCTGGGGCTGAGCCCTCAGTGGGAGGGGGAAGGGCTCCCAGATGCGCTCTTGTCCTGCACCTGGACACGTGTCTCACCTGACTTCAGGGCAGGCCCTTTTCTGTTTTTGCCCAGTGCTTAAGTCCTTCCCATCTTTACCTCCCAGCCCAGGCCCACCTCAATGATGCCACCGTTAAGACCCTCAGCTTTCTTCCTTCCTAGGCTCTTATTCCAGTCCTGGATCAATCCAGCTGTCAGTCTTTTTTGCCCTGGGAGTTGAAGAGACTCAGGTCCCTCACACCAGGGCAAGGCAAGGCCAGTTCTTTGGGGTGTGTCACATCAGACCCTCTGCCACCCCCTCTGCTTGCCATGTCAGATATTGACCCTCTTCCCACAGGTCACAGATACCTTCAGCTTCCCGCTCCCTCTGGAACACATAATGATTTTGTATCTATGACCCCTCCCGCCCCTCATTCCCTTCGCCTCTTGGAGGAAGGTGGCGATTCCCCTTCCTGCCCAAAGCCTTCCCTCTCCCCAAGCCTGACTCTCCCATCCTGCTCTGCATAGAACTTCAGCTCCACCTTTCCCTTTCACTGGCTGCTCTCCCTCAGCCCACAATTATGCTCAATTTTCTCCCCAGCTCTCCCCAAACTGTTCTCAGTTCAGTGGCTGCTTATTTTCTCATCAGCTCTCCTGTGCTAGATGTCACCAACATGCTCACCCAAGCTGGGTCCTCTAGGGCCTTCCACTCTCTCTCCAAGAGCACAGAGCATTTGCCCACGACATGGAAGTCTCCCCCCCAGACGTCCCTCACTGGGGGAAGGGGCTGGAGCCTGATTCCCACGCCTGACGACCGATGCTCGCTCACTCTCATGTACTCACACTGCAAAACACAGTCTTCCAGCTCTTGCCCAAAGCTGTGCTCTCACCTCCCTCCCAGGACCTGAAGGGACACATTCTGGAGAGCCAGGTGGTAGGGCAACAGGCGTGACCAGGTAGTGACAGCAGAATCCCTGGCTTGAGCTGGGGGTTCTATGCACCTTTTTTCTGAAGCAGGTCAATGGAAATGGCCTCTGAGTTGCCATCGGGGGACAGACAAAACTCAGCCGGAGGCTTCTCAGTCAGGGAGAAGGGGTCTTGGAAGTCAGGGCAGGCCAGTGGTAGTGGCTTCACTACTTGACCTGGAAGGAAAGGAAAAATCAATCCTGAGCAACTCTCACCTCAAAGTTCCAGCTCAGTTCAGCCCCGCCCTCCAGACGTGTTCCTGTGGGGCGTGAGCCCTTCTCCACCCCTTCCCCGCCACGGGAGAGCCTGCTCTCGGTGTTCTGGGGACCTCCCCACACACCATTCAGGCGGCAGTTCAGATGGCTGGCAGCGCTGAAGGAGCCAGGGAACTCAAAGATGGGGTTTCTTCGGGTCAGACGAGCTTCCTGTGGCCTTCTGTCGAGGCTCCCTGACAAGCCAGGTGGCCCTAGCGGGTTCTTTCTCCTGTATTCCCGCCACTTGAGGGCTTGAGGGGATAGGTGGTTGGCTGGAAGCAGAATAGATGAGCAGAAAGACAGACAGGCAAGAGTTAGCATGAGACAGCATCTCATACCCACCCAGTGGGCCCACGTGAAGCACTAGGGTTGTGTCTGTGTAGGGGGTTGCTGAAGCTCATACCGTTACTGGGCCTGGAGGCCATGCTGCCCTCACCACCTCGGGTCAGGCTCTCTGCTCGGCTAAAGCCAGATCTCCAGGAGCCCAGAGGTGGCAAGCTTCCTATTCCATGGAGTCTGTACTCAGCCAAGGTCAGTATCTTCTGGTCCTCCCTCTGTGGCTGCTGGGAGGTGGTAGGCTGGGCAGCAGGACAGGAGTGGCTCCATGGGGGGAGGCTTTCTGGGACTGTGGCCTGCTCCGGGGGAGGGGAGCACGAAGTGGAGGCAGAAGAGTCCGTGCTGGGCCCAAAGGGGCCAGCACTCCGGATGGGGGAGTAGCTGCCCAGGGGCGATGGCCGCGAGGTCTCTGGCTCAGTCCCAGCTTTCCTGGCACCTCTGCCAGTGGTTCGGGGAGTGGATGCCTGCGGCTCCCCAGAGGGAGCTGGGGCTGAGACTTGAGCAGCAGGGGCAGCCGGTGGGGCGGGCTGCTGTGCACGACTGCAGCCCGAGAGGCTGTAGAGCTGGGAAAGGCTGTGGAGGGCCCGGGCCTTGGCCAGCTGCTTGGGGAAGTGGTGCTGGAACACGAAGGGCTGGATGGGCAGCGTGGTTGGCCTCTGCTCCTTGCTGTAGCGAAGCACTGGTCGGTTCTCAGCACCACCCCCTGTAGCAACGGGGATGGAGAAAGATCAGTGGACAGTCACAGAAGCAGACATGGGAGATGATGCCCGCTGGGGAAGCGGGAGCGATGGGAGGGCCCAGAACTGAAGGGGACAGGAGTAATCCAAATCGGGCAAGGGAATACTGCTCCCCTCTTCTTTTGCGAGGCTTTTCCTATTGCTTTTGTGATTCTGGACTGTCTTGTTCCTCTTTGCTGTTCAGTCCTTCTTCATATCCACAAAAGTGGGTGTATCTTTTTTTTTTGAAAGCAGGATTTATTGAGAGGATAGAAAAGCTCCAGCCAGGCTCGGTGGCTCAGCCTGTAATCCCAGCACTTTGGGAGGCTGAGGTGAGTGGATTGCCTGAGCCCGCGGGTTCGAGACCCGCCTGGGCAACTTGGCAAGACCTCATCTCTACAATAAATCAAAAACTATCCAGGCGTGGTAGCGTGTGCCTGTAGTTCCGGCTACTTGGAAGGCTGAGGCGGAAGGATCGCCGGAGCCCAGCGGGTCAAAGCTGCGGTGGCCGGGAGCAGCCACTGCGCTCCAGTCTGGGTGACAGAGTGAGACTCCAACTCAAAAAAAAGAAAAGAAAAAGAAAAGCTCCACAGTGGGAGGGGACCCAAAGGGGTTGCCCAGGTGGGTGTATCTTAAGACTCAATTCTTATACCTCACTTTACACTTTCTGTCTTGCGTGGGTTAAGTTTCATACAGATGACTCCTGCAGTCCTGACCGTCCTCTTGATCTCTAGATCATCTGCTTTAGGACTCTTTCATTTAGAATATTTTATTTTATTTTGTTTTTGTGTTTGCTTTTGTTTTGAGTTGGAGTCTCACTCTGTCACCCAGACTGGAGTGCAGTAGCACGCTTCCGGCCACCACAACCTCGACCGCTGGGCTCTGGCGATCCTTCCGCCTCAGGCTTCCAAGTTGCTGGCACTGCAGGCACGCGCTTCCACGCCCGGTTAATATTTGATTTATTGTAGAGATGAAGTCTCTCCAAGTTGTCCAGGTGGGTCTCGAACCCATGGGCTCAGGCAACCCACTCACCTCGGCCTCCCAAAGTGCTGGGATTACAGGCTGAGCCACCGAGCCCAGCCTATTTTGATTTTTTGACTGTTTCACTCTGTTGCCTAGGCTGGAGTGCAGTGGCATGATCATAGCTCACCACAGTTTCAAGCTCCTGGGCTCAAATGATCCTCCGTCCTCAGTCTCCTGAGTAGTTGGGATTACAGGCGTGTTCACCCAGCTAATTTTTCTTTTTTTTTTTGAGACAAGGTCTCACTAAGTTGCCCAGGCTGGTCTTGAACTTCTGGGATCAAGCAATCCTTCCACCTCGGCCTCCCAAAGTGCCGAGATTACAGGTGTGAGTCACCACACCCAACTAAAAAATTTACTATTTTAAAACAGCTCATCTACCACCTTTCTCCTTTTTCTCCTGATGACTTCTATTTTTGTCAAAGGAAGAGCCACCATTTTCTTTGTTTCTAAGGCCTGAAGACCAGGGGTCGGAGTCACAGGTTTTCAGTTCAAGATGTTACTGACAGCACGCTTTCGTTCACCATCCTGTCTCCACTTATGCCAGTACATTCCATTCTTGAATACATCTAACCAGAATACAGCATTTCTTCCCTTGCAGCCACAATCAGCTTCCTGTTGTCCCCATCCATCCCACTCCCAATCTTCCATGATCCTGGCATTGGAACCTCAGAGTCCACATTTGCTCCCTCTGCACAGGGGTGTGCTCCCCAAGGCTGCACCTCTCCTGTTCAATGTCCCTAAAAACAGAGTTCAGATCTAAACACAAAACTCTGAGATGCAGTGCAGTGTTTGTACCGTAAACACCAAATGAACACAAGATGGCGCTGCAAGCATGTGCCCATGGCCTAAAACCCTGGCTAGAGCTCACCGGGAGAGCGGCTTACCAATTCCATGAAGCAGGAATTCGTATTTTCACTTGACAGATCAGAAAAATTGAAATTTAGACAGATTAACTCATTTTCTCAAGGTCACAAGACTAGGAAGTGGCAGAGCTGGAATTCCGCCGAAGTCAGAGTCTGCCTCTGGAGTCAATGTTCTTTTTACCACATTTCACTGTACATGAAATGGTGATATGAGGCCAGGTTTTCCTATCCCTCACCTTTTCTTTCTTTTGCAAAATTTTTTTGTAGAGACGAGGGTCTCAGTATGTTGCCAGAATGGTCTTGAACTCCTGGCCGCAAGTGATCCTTACCCCCCGGATTACGGGCGTGAGCCACAGTGCCTGGTTCATTTTATTTACATTAAAGAGTGTAGGGAGCTGGGCTTGGTGGCTCAGCCTGTAATTCTGCGCTTTGGGAGGCTGAGGTGAGTGGACTGCCTGAGCCCGCAGGCTTGAGACCTGCCTGGGCAACTTGGCGAGACCTCATCTCTACAATAAATCAAAAAATTAGCCAGGCCTGGTAGCGTGCGCCTGTAGTTCCAGCTACTTGGAAGGCTGAGGTGGAAGGATCGCCGGAGCCCAGCAGGTCAAGGCTGCGGTGGCCGGGAGCAGCCACT